AGATTGGCCCTTGCCATTGATGGTTTATGTAAGAGCCGGTTGTGTGGCCGAGAGTATGGATCGTTATAGTTATGTATGGGATGTAAAATGAACAGACGACATGGGAACTCTCCTCAAGATGGGCCACAGTTCGTAATGAAATGAAGTGTATAACATTTTATTTTACGATTGCGTATTCAGTTTGCTGAAATATAATGAATACCATTTGATGGAGTCAATAAAACTATTGATTTTGAATATATTTGAAGATGGTTTATCAAGATATCAGCAACTGTTAAAGCAATCATTCATTGCCTTAACAAATTCTATATGAAGGATGCTTAGTTCAGGAATAGTTTAAGTAGAGTTAAGTAAACACAAAATCATTTGCTTTGCAACTAAAACATTAATTAAGCTAATGAAAAGAATATACTATACAGCTTTATCCATCCGTGAAAGAGTTCTTCCTGAAGAAATCCCCTTTTAAAGCAATTGTCCTGCTTAATATTCCCTTAAAGTAGCATCCCTATTTGTGTAATCCCATTGCTTCTCGCCCGTGTTAATGGGATACGAATTAAATTTAATATAAAATTCATTTGGCCAAATCAAGGAGACCGAGACAAAGCGATTGCTTGTTACACTTTTCGGACTGGCCGAGAGCGAGCACTTTCAATAATTGCCACTTTGGCGCCCATTAAAGCCAACTTATGCCCACGATTGACTGCTGCAACAGCCGAGGCCTATCCCCCGGCTCCTCCTTCCTTCCACGAGTCCTTTCTCTAGGACTCTGTTTCTGGCCTGCTCCACCTAGAACGCATAATCATTATCGTTACAGTTTATTGCACATTAAAACTGCGCCGCTGTCGCCCTTTGCTTTTATGCCACCGTCGCTGGGCCAAACACTTGGCATTACATAAAGCAAATGGCCATAAAACGGAACTGGAAACATGGCCGAAACGAAAGGAAGAAGTGAGAGCGAAACTCGACCGAGTCTTGACCGACTCGTAATTGTCACCCTCAGCGCCTTTTGTTGGAATTTACACATGAATAGTTGCCGGACCTCCTGCCAGTGGGAATTTAATTTAATTGCGCCTGAAATTTGCTTCCATCTCGAGCACTCTCTCCACGGTTCGTCGTCGTTCGCCTCAATTGTATTTGGAGATTTTTATTTGATTTTTATTTAATTTTTAAGTACTCCCAAGGGGACTTCCGAGTGTTTTGCAATTAGCGGGTGTGTAAGCGTTTCAATATGATTTGCAGTTGGCCAGAATTTGCGAGTAACTGAAGCTGAATCCTTCCCTTAAGCCAATACTAAAAACCAAATCCAATAAAACGGGGTTAGAGATGTCACGCTTATTTTATTTGATAGCTCCATGATTTTAGCAAATTATGCAAATGTTTGCACTTATTTGAAACAACATTTTTGTTACTCATATTGAGTCGCACTCGCACTTGCTCTCGTCCCCCTCTCGGTCGCTGGCAAATATTGACAAGAGTTTTATTTAAATTTGGCTGCCAATTCCTTGGCAGGAGTTTCCGGCAATGTCACTGCGCTCCTTGGCTTCCTCGACTTCCCCTCGTCTGCGCATATTTTTGCGAAATCAGCAAATGTTGCCGTTGTCAACTGAGTTGGCCCCGGCCATGTCTCGATTCGCAGATTCTATTTTTTCTGCCGTCTTCACTTCTGTTGAAAGTCGGAGCGGGGCAGGGCAGAGCGGTTCGGAGCAAATGCCACTAATATGAAAGCAAATTTGCATAATAATTTTTGCCAGATTCTTTTGCTAGCTGAGCTGCCGTCATATTTAAGTTGAATATCCTTTAGTTTGGCATCTGAATATCCTGATTTTGTTCCACTTTAATGCTGGAACCCGTTTTGTTTATATTCACAGCGGTCAAAGCACTTGCCACTGCTTATTATATTAATTGAATTTAATGGCATTTAATGAGAAAATTAATTAAACTGCTTTATTTATGGCGTCACATTAAACGAATATACTATTTTTTCTAGCCTCTGACAAAGTGAGTGGTTTTTTATGGAATTTCTCCTGTGGCTGTGGTAAATATGACAACTGTTGGGGTAAAAAAACTGGTCTTTTTTCTTCTATTCATAAAGTGTGTATAGTTGGAGAACCAGGTGGTTTTGATAATTTATTATATAATTGCATTAATCTTAAAGCTTAATGCAAATATGGGAAATATTTCATAATTAAATCGCCGCTTTGGAGGATTATTGAGCTCAAGATACCTATTGTTAGTGCAATAAAATAAATGTCCCAATGTTAAAGTTCATTTATCTACACACCTTACGCCTGTTTGCCCCTTGGCAATAAAAATAATTGGCTATAAATGCGCCAAGAGTCAAAACAAAATGCCAATTGTCAAGGAGCCAGGGAGAGCGCACCGAGTGCCTGTCGGAAAAGGAAACTGGGAAGGAATAAGAAATCAACACATTGCTTTTAATTAATGGAAGCTGCAGAGCACACACATACACTCTACCCAGTGGCAGTTACCGTGGCGTTTTTATGACTTTCCGCCTGGCATCTGGAAAGGCCATCAAATCGGAGGGAAACTGGGGTGAGAAAGTCACCGTGTCGCTTGTCAGTTTCAAGTGCGTTGAGTTATAATTTTATGTGCAATTAATTTGCCACCACACACATACACACTCGTTTAATGTATTCTCTGGCTTGTACTTGGGCCAACTAATGAGCCAAACAGCTACTGTTTTGGCCTTGTTTGAGCTAGAAATTGTTGTTAAGCCAGGACCCTGCAAAAGCAATTTTAATGGCCGCCGTGTTGTGGCAATTAATGTTGATGACTTTTTTATAGTTCACAGCAACACGAAAAAAAAAAGAGAAACAACCTTAGTAGAACCGCTTTAGATGCATTTAGAATGCAATCCATTCGAACATTTTCCGATAGCTGGAAAACAAATCAGCACAAGTGGACAAACGTGGCCGAAATTGCAAATTCCAGCACAAAACCACGCACAACCAGTGGGCATTTTACGATTGATTTTTGTTGGGGCGGCGAAAAAAAAGGCCACTGCGTTCTGGGCCCAAAACGAAAATCTCTAATTAGCTAATTGCTATAATTAAATGTTTTGCCAATGTGGGCATTTCGTTTAACTCGGACGCAAGGATAATGTAAATTCTGAGAGCTGCCCTCGCTCAGCCAGTGCCTGTGTGTGTGTGTGTGCTTGTGCTTTGTTGTCCTTTCCCCTGCAAATGTGTGTGTGCGTGTGTGTGTGTTAGGGGCCGACGTCATCATCATTACCATCATTGGCATTGTTATTATTGCGGTTGCCCTCGTGCCTCGGCACTGCCTGTGCTCGTTCCGTAATGGCAAATCGAACATATTTGCATATGAAATGAGCGAAAAATCGAAACATGGCGGCAGCCAGGCCCGGGCCATGTGGAGCCCCAGCAAAACAGAGAAAAAAAGAAACCAAAAAAGGAACCCGGCGATTTCCGGCTTAGGAGCCATCACATTTTAAACGAGTCTCCTGCCCCCTCCCGATTATTATGCAGAATCGAAAGTCAGGCGGCAGCACAAAACCATTTATAATCATCATAAATTATGCATTGCATTATCGCTACTGCCGGAGTCCTGCTTGCTTGCCTTTTTCCCCAGCTGATTAGCAACTAATTCCGCGGAGCGGCCACGGGGCGTATGAGTAATATGCGCCGCCTGCAGTTGAGCTGTGAGTTGGGTTCGCAATTAAATCATCGCTTGCGGTTGGCCAGTGCATGGGGGACTCTCGACAAACTGTAATAACTTTGTTTGGGCCACGTCAAAACGCTGAGCCTACGAAATGCAAATGAGTTAACAAGTGAATTTAAATGAGATACAAACAACGTGACGAGGGACCGACGCCTTTCCTTTACCAAACAACAAAAGGGCTAACAAACTTTTTCGGCAAAGAAAGTCTACGGGAAAGGAAAATTTTAAACAGGCAAATTAGACCGGCTCTCTGGCCCAATCTTATAAAATTTAAATTAAAATCAGACCAAACCCAGTTGGAATAAGCCTCGGTCTGCGAAGAGTCCCCGAAATTAATGTCAACTTCAAACAGTAATCTCTCTCCCCGTCTTTCCCGTTCGGGGCTTTAAACAAAGCGGCAAAAATATGAGCGGACAAAGCAACTGCGAATAATGAAAAGGCAAACGAATCTTAAGTGCAGGCCAAAAATAACACAAATAAATGCCGAGCCAAAAGGGAAATTGTTAAGAGCAAAGACTCGGAAAATAAGCCAAGCCAAAGGACATAACTCAAAAAATGGCTGTGCAAAAGTAACACACAAAAAAAAAGGGAAGGCAGCAAAATAAAAGAAAAGAAGAAGCCGGCAAAATGAGGAAGAACAATCCCCTGTGCCGCCTTGAAAGCCGGACGAAATTAGCATAAAAAAAGGATTTGCTCGCTAATTTCACTTTAATGTGAGAGGGCGAAAGAAAGAAAGGCCCAGGACAGTGCGATGAAGACGTCGCGCCCATTACGTCACTTTTATCTGGCTGACTTTCCCCTCGATTTTCCATCCCCCCCTCAAGTCTTTTCGCCTTTATTTATAGCATTATTAGTTGGGCCAAGCGAAAGATCGCAGCATGCTCCCCGCTACTCGGCTTTTCGGGGGGTCTCTGGTCCCAATAACAAAGTGCTAATGCCCTCGGCTAATTATACATCATTTGTTAGCCACATTTTTTTTTTCATCTCAGCCACTTTCCTGCAGCTCCTGCTGTTGATTTTTTTCGTCTTCCGTCTCGGGTTGTAGCTAAGGAGACTACGTTATAAATTTCAGTTTTTTCTTCAAAGGAGCTCTAATATTGGATGTCTTTTCTCAAAGTCTATTTGTGGAATTAAAGGGAATCTTCAGAATTAAACCTTTTTTAAATGACATAAGATAGTAATACATATCGAAATGAATTGATTCCAAAGTTAGTTTCCCTTTAAATTGTGTTTAAATTTGTCTCCTCTACGACTTAACCCAGTAACTCAGACTAATCCCTTTAATTTCTCTTAACTTTCAGGTCCTCCTGTGCTATCCGAGTCCATAATGGGCACTGTTGGCCGACTGCCCTGCAACGTCACCCCGCCCATCTACGAGGATCGTGTGGCACTGGTCATCTGGTACAAGGTCGGCCTAAAGACACCCATTTACAGGTGAGTCTCGACACGTTTTGATAGATTTTAGGGAAGGGAAATCGCTTTCCAATAACCCAAGTGCAACGGCAGGGGTAACCTCTTTTTTTTTGGAGTCGCTTTAAATCTTTAAGCCGCCGTGTCAAATGCAGAGCCACAAGCCGCAGAGGAGAGGAGAGTTGATGCGGGGGAGAATACCCACCTGACCGCAAACATTTCAACCGCACACACTCAGACAGACACGCACGGGTCCATAAATAAACAAAATTGATTACCGCAGACAACTTTTGACGCACTCAACCCGCTCGCCATCCGCCATCCGCCACTCGCCACTCGACACAAACAAACAGATGAGGCGGGAAATTGGATCGGATGATGCCGGAGACCTGCACATGTCAGTTGCCGCATTCGAGGGGAGTTTTCATTCTGATTTAATGGCGGCTAATTAAGCCGATTTTTTCTCTGTCCCCTAACCCCAGACCGAAGTCCGCAGTCCAAAGTCCGAAGCATTCCGTCAGCCTGCAGACATGAAATTAGCATAACTAGAAAATTATACGCAGAGGAGCTGCCGAAAGTGGGCAAAGTTTCTTGGCGGTTGGCTCCAAGGTTACATTCGCCAGCAAAAACTTTTTCAATTATTCATGTCTAACATTATGTCGTTGTGGTGGCTGGCAGTACCGAGTATCTTGTATCTACCAGATACACGTCTACATCAAAGGCGTGAAACTTTAATTGGATTCGTCTGACTGGGATGTGTGTGTGTGTGGTGATTAGCTGATTGCCAGCCCGGGCTGCCTTCCTGCCAGCTAGCCAGGCATTGACATGCGGCCAAAACTAATTGAACTTCGGGCACTTCAAGGACTTGCAAATGACTCGAGCGAAAGTAGTAATTAGCGTTGCATAACGACCGGCAGAGCCACGCTCGAACTGAGCTCAACTCTTGTTTGTAATTAAAAACCACTCAGCAAGTAAATTAATCATAAAAGAAACCGCTGGCCCGATGCTGGACCAGGCCACGCCCGGTGGTAAAAATTTCATTTTCGCCCAGCATTGGCAGGACGCGATCCTGTCCCTCCACGACATTGACTTTTTATTGCCCGGCTGACATACGAGCTTCGGTTCGGTTTGGTCCTTCTGCAGAACCTCATTATCCGTTCGAGGGAGCGCCATATGTTCAAAGCAAATCAAAATCGAAATGCAATAAAACACAGGCTTGCAATCCGAGCAGTTGTCGAGGGCGAAGGATATATGTATATGGAGATGCAGGGGAATTTATGGAGCATTTCTGGCTGGGGGAAAAATTATGTACTCGGCCGGCCGTTTGTCGAACCTAAGTTAGGTGAGATTTTCCCGGGCACCAATAGCAATTTGAATGCCAATTGAGTTGGCAACTCGGCAACGTCCTGGGGCCAGGCACTAAATGATTAATTCATAAGTTGTAGCATATCAGTGGGCGAGATGGCGCTTAAATCGGGCTCTGAAACTTCGTTGCCCCCGGGCTGGGATTACTCCGGTTCTGGTTCTCAATTAAAAACGCTTTCGGCCACTTTAAGGATTGGCCAAAATAGAATATTACGCCAGAGCTTGCATAATTAACTATGTGTTGCCAGGAAAAGTGCTTTAAACCCCAATTAACTTCGCCACTCGGCTAAATGTTGACCTAAATCGGGTATCACAGCGAACTTCCTACGCTTCGAAACTTTTTAAACCCAACGTCGTTGGCCTGAAGTTGGAAACAGCGGCAGCACGGACACTTTAAGACCATTGATTGACCACCAAAATGAGCTCATTACGGCCAGTATCGGCAGGATGGAATAATCAATAATTGGGAATTTCAAGCGAAAACAATAAATTACAGCATGGGAGGGCGGGTGTGTATTATTAATTCATTGCAGAACCCAATTACGCCGACGGCGATAATAAAAAACTTCAACATGGCGTGAGAAAGTAATGGGCACTGGGGCGACTCTTGTTTTCCTTTTGGCACAGGCTGATATACAGGAATTCTTTTAATTTTTCCCATGCCGACACTGGGAGAAAATTAGCGGGGAATTAATTACAAACTTTTGAACTTTTGTGATGATTTTATCACAAAGACAAATGGTAAAACTAAACTAAGCTACAAGCAGTTGAATATATATTAATCTGTAAGGTGTATGCCCTATTTTAGGTAATATTTTCATACCAGTGCACTTCTGATTCTCGTCTCCTTTTGCCCTATTTCAGTGTGGATACACGCGACTCCAACTTCGCCCAGGGCACGCACTGGTCGGATGAGACCTATCGGGAGCGCCTCTCCTTCTACGTGGAGGGACGTGCCGGCACGCTGACCATCAAGTCAACCACCGAGGACGACACCGGAGAGTATCGGTGCCGCGTCGACTTCCAGAAGAGTCCCACGCGTAACTCCAAAGTGAATTTAACTGTCATAAGTAAGTACCGGCATGGAGCCACTCTCCTTGCTCCTTGTTTGGCCATTCTGTTTGCCCACGATGTGCGGGGCAGCATAATTGAGCAGCTAATTTGTGCGGCGACATATCCTGGCCGGGTGGGTGGATGTTATATCCTCAAACCGCTTCTGGCTTCATTCTTCTGCGTTCCGGTCCAACCACGCCACTCAGCTCTTGGACAAACACATTAGTTACAGAATAAGACGCCAACTATATGTTCGGGTTGCCAACTTTTCCCTTATTTTAACCCACTGCCTGCCCGGACTGCAGTCCTGCACTTGGCAAACAGATTTTAAAGTGCCAACTTGGCCAGAAGTTTAAACTTGGCTGGTTAAAGCTGCTCGAGGAGAAAGCCCAAGTGTGCGGCGGGTGGCAATGGGTTCGGTTCGCTGGTTGCGAGTGCAAAGTGCAACTTTTGAATTGAATTCCTCGCCTCTTAAATGGATTTCAGATTGGGAATTGGGCAAGAGTATGCGCTGAAACGGTTAGAATTTTCCAAGGCAAGGATTTAAATCGATAAAAGTCGAAATTGAGAAAGGATTACCAGCATTCATCCAATTCTCTAATCTCAAATTGTATTGTTAGCATCTTAAGGCAGAAGAACTTTATGCAATATAAAGAAATATATTAAAAGAGTCCTAGAATTCTAAAACTTATTTATACTAGAAATCATATATTTTATTTGTTAGTATCTTTAAATTAGTAGTTTCTGAATATCAATTTCAAATTAATTTAACAGAACCTTCAGCAAGTAAAAGGCAGATTTTATTGCAGTTTTCTTAACCCTCGGAATTGTCCAGAAGGAAAAGCGTATTCCACCTTCCATTTTACCCACTTTCAAATGGAATTTAAGTCCTGTTTTTATTTTAAGCTTAAACCCACCGCGAGAAGGATACCTGGGCATTGAGGCGGCCACAGCTTGCAATTTACCATTAAAATTTATATGCGTTTCCAGCGGCGTTTAGCTGAAATATATGGCCAGCAGAGTTGGCCAGGCCAAATATTGTTGGTAAATAGTTGCTGCCGACGCCGAAGTCGCCGTCGCCGTCGCAGTTGCCAGATGAAGCGTGTGGAAGCAAAGGAGGCGGCGGCGGGCCGAAAGGGGCGTGGCTGTGTTTTACAAACTTCTTGAGCATGTTCAACATGCTGCCGCTATGTGTGTGCGTGTTTGTCTGTGACATGTGAAGCGTAAAACCAAGGCAGGATTTAGAACTTTGTACGTCGGTCGGGAAATGGGAAAAGGGGGAAAAAAAAGGAACAGAGGGAAAAACTTTAAAGAAGATATTAGATTAAAAGTTGCCCCAGTTCAGGGTGGACAGTTTGGACAACTTGCCGCTGCTGCTAATGCGCCGGGCTTTGGGGAGAGAGCAGGAAATTCCCAGGACTTGATCAGGCCAAGCAAATTTGCCAGCAAAGCGATGATAATCGGGTCGGGTTCCGGCTCCAAATAGTTGGCCAAGCGCCCACCCCCTGAAATAACCAATAATAATAAGGAACAGACCAAGTAGTATGGGGGAAAACTAAAGAAAACAGAGTAAAGCAGTCAAAACAGGAAGGTCTTTAAGCTCTAAGTGAAAGAAAGCATAAAAAATAAATGAGGTGCAAGTAAGAGTAGTTTGTTTTTGTATTAATTATTTGCAAAAGAATTCTGGAAATACTTAAGAGGAAAGACAAATATTTTTGGGATAATAGGATTTCTTCTATTTTACTTCCCACAAATAAACACACCTCTTTTATCGGATATCTTTACTAATAACAATACAATATACCATTATCCGCTTCGAATACGAGGTACACAAGTAATACTTTTACTGAACTTTGACTGCATCTGCCCGAAGAAGACTTTGCCATTCTTTTTCCTGGCTTTTCTTTGCCAAAGTGGCAACAACATAAGCAGCTCTTTAAGGCACCGACAGCCAAGCTCTTAAGGAGCTTGCTGGCCAAGTATTGAGCTGACAGGACGAAGACCGGCTAGGTGTCATCGATTTGACACTGCAGAAACTGCATTTTAACAAGCTCAAAGTCTATGATTTCCATTTTCAAAACTCAATACTAATGCGCAGCGTTGTCCTTCCTCTCCTTGCAGTTCCGCCCGAATCCGTGATTATATTGGACAGCAAGGGGGCCACCATCAAGGATCACACGCTGGGGCCCTACAACGAGGGCTCCGGCATCAACATCACGTGCGTGGCCATCGGCGGTAAGTCCTAGATATATATATACAGTATTTACTGGGGAATTGTGGGTTTGTGTGTGTATTGGGGAGAGAGTGTTGATGCTGGCTGCCGCTTGTGTCTGACAATTAAAAGTGATGAGCGTGAAAATGCAGGCGAAAGATCTTCACATTTTATTTAATTTCCACCCGCCTGTCTCCTGCACGAAACCGAACTCAAGCTGGAGCCAACGTGCAGACAATCGAGGAGCTCTGCCACACACAATGCCCACACAAATTGCATTGAGAGCACTTGAAAATTGCTAAAAGCCAAACAAGACAACAAATGAAACAGCGAAAGGCACTTGTACACATACACACGCAACCAGCCACAGCCACAGCCACAGCACCAGCAACACACATTCCATCCCAGGAGGACACACTCATCCACTCCTTGCACTTGTGAGCACATAAACAAACAGGAGACCAGCTAAAACGCTGCCGGCTGTTCAGCCAGAGACAACTCCGAGTCTAAGCCGTTTGGCAAACATATCAGTTGCACACACACGTCCCCGATAATTCTTTTTCTTGCCCTTACCAATCCGCATCCACCACGTTCTCCTCCTGCACCTTGCAGGTCGCCCGCAGCCAAGGGTCACCTGGCTGCATGGGAACACCGTCTACAAGGATGCCAGCGTGGGCCATCCCCTCTCCGAGCGACGCGTGGCCAATGTGCTGTCCCTGCCTCGACTGGAGCGACGGAATCTCCACATGCAGCTAACGTGCCGGGCGGAGAACAATAATTTGACAACGCCAATTATCAGCAGCGTCGTCCTCGACATGAACCGTGAGTACCCCAAGCCCGAGGAGCCATCCCCGAGTCCGTGTCTGTGCCTAACTAATTAATTCTATTGCTTTTCACCCTCCTTCGACAACCCGATGCAGTGCGTCCTTTGATTGTCAAGCTGCAGGGGGAGAATCGACCACTGTCGGCGGGGAATTCTTATCAGCTCAGCTGCGTTGTCATCGGAGCACGTCCAGCGCCGACGATTACCTGGTGGAAGGGCAGTACCCCCATGAAGAATACTCACGAGATTGTAAGTGGAAGCATGGCGAAACAGGGGCTCGACTAGAGAGTGTCCTTTGCGGTATTCGATAAGGGTGGCAAGGATTTCTATAAATTACAAAGCAAATGTTTGGACTTGTCTTGCCCATTTTATATTAAAAAACCTTAACTCTCTAGCTTATTAACTTTTTTTTTCAATATTTCTTTGCTCAAAAGAGCAAAGTTAAATAATCTTCCAGTCCTTTAGTAATTTAATTCCTTTGAGATATTAAAACTCTACCTTAAACTCTTTTAAATATCCCCAATTAAACACATACCCTAGCAGACTTCCTTGCAGGCCCAATGCTACCCTGTGTGAAATGTTTATAAACATGCAAATTTCAAATGCCTGTCATCCTTGTTAATGGCCGCCCCGGAGTACAATTTCCACTCCCCATTTCCCAGTGGCAGCCGTACACATGCTTTGCGGTAATTGAAGTTGCTCGAACGGCAGTCACGTAGCGAGGGCCTCAATTAAAAGCCACCCCTATCTGGGGCCGCAGGACGTGCGGGCCAATGCCAACCCTTTCCGTTCGCATTGTCTTGGCCAACTTGGTCGACTTGCTCGGCTCGGCTATTAACTTGCTGCTCTCCTCCTTGTCTCGTTATCCAGGCGAATCCGGACGGGAATATGACCACCTCGGTGCTGACATTCACTCCAACCATCGATGACCGCGGCAAGTTCCTGTCGTGCCGCGCCGAGCAGAGCATGATACCCGAGTCTGGCATGGAAGATGGCTGGAAATTGGACATCTATCGTGAGTACTGATGCTGGCCTGGAACAAGAACCCGCTTAATATTTAATTCGGCCTGCCAAAGTTTTTAATGAAAACGAAAGCACCAAGGCTTTGGCTTTAAGAACTGTGTAAGGAATCGCTGCACTGGGCTGGCTCTCCCTCTTCCAGCGGCTCCATATTTTTCTTCGATTCTCCTCAGCTGCGGCAAGTTTTGGCAAATTAATTTCCAGCGGCGGCCGGTGAAACTTTTGCACAAAAACTTGCGAAACTTTTTAACCCGCCACAAGCACCGCAAGCAGAGCGAAGCCAGAGACGCCGCCGCCTCCTGCAAAGTCATCTTTACGCTTTTACAGTTTTCGACCTGTTTGCACAAAATTTAAATGGCAAAACCACGGAGCGAGGAGCGTCCCCTCCCGTGGCCCAGACCGCTTCCTGTTTGCCTTGGAAGTGCGGTCTTGTTGCTTACCTTTTAACTTTTCCCCTTTTTTCGGATCCGCCCAACGGCGCCAGGCAATTCGATTGAAATATCTGGCTCTGCTTCACTCGCCGCGAAAGGGGAGAGGCACGAGCTGGGGGCTCTGTTTGCCCAATTTGATAGATTGCTTAATAAGCTTAATTGATTCGCATTCGCGAACCAATTTTGAATTAATCAAGTTAAAATTTTAGCCCAGTTACCAGTTACCTTTTTGCTCTGGTGGAACAACATTTCAAAAGCCTAATTGGGCGAAAAAAATGATATAATAATAAACAAACAAGCAGCTGGCGCAGAGCACAGGCAAAGCTGGTCCTAGTCCCTACAACTTAAATTGGCTAATTTGTGCGGCTTACACAGTAATTACACCTTTGGCCGGTGCTCAGGCATTTCATTTGCCTGCCAGCCAGCCAGCTTTATTATTTGCCTGGCAGCCGATTTAAAGTAATTAGCCTGCTCCAGGAGCCATGGCAGCTAAGCCTTATACTTGATTTCCTTCACAGACATACCGGTGGTGAGCCTGGAGCTGGGAACCAATTCCCTCAACTCGACGCTGCGCGAGGGCATCGATGTGTTCTTCGAGTGCAACATCAAATCGAATCCGTGGATATACAAAGTTAGCTGGCGGCACAATGTAAGTGACAGACAGATGTCGGTTTTACACGAGTTACCTTAACACCCCAGTATGGCTAATTTATGTGCCACCACCCACTGACTTGGGGCACTTTCAAAGAGAGCAGGAAACCCAAACTGCTTACATACATGTATGAATGTATGTATGGCGGCGTTATTATTATTATTATTATTTTCATTATACGCCCCTTACATACATTACCCTGCGGCAGCGAATCGGGCCGAGATGGAGCGTATAATTGTTGCATATTTTAGGGCTGCCAAAGGGCCAAAAAATGAAGTTCTCTACGCAGAACACACCCACACACATAGAGCGTAGATCGCACAATTTATTATTGAATTACCCGGCAGTGGGAGAGAGCAATTAACAATTTATGCAGGCTGGGTCTAATTTATGCAGCCACCGGGGCTTCAATCAGCCGCACACCCACCCACCTCAACCCGCCTTGGCCTGCGGGGCGTATGCGCAATGTAACGCAACATAAAAGTGTTATTAGCTGTTAGAAATTAAATTTATTTCAATTTAGCAGTTATCGGTAAATTGAATTCGATTCAATAAATTATTATGCCACACGAGCAGCCACCTAAAATTTGCGAAACCTTTTCAATTTGCGTTCACTTACCGCCCTCACTGACTTCTCCTTTCGATTTCAGGGCGAGATTCTGGCCAACAATCCCGCCGAGGGCATCGCCGTGTCCAACCAGAGTCTGGTGCTGCAGAATGCCAGCCGGGCGAGGAGCGGCATCTACACCTGTGTGGGCAGCAATCGGGAGGGCGACGGCGAGAGCAATCCCGTCCAGCTGGACATACGATGTGAGTACTCTTCCAGGGCCGAAGTCCAGCAGGCAGAGTGTTAATTTACATAACAGCTTAATTAAAACGAATTGGATCTTTCGATTGCAATTTGTAACTAACACGTTACACAATGCAATTACATCAGGACTCAGCAGGACGACTTATCCTGCCTGCCTGCCTGCCTGCCAGGGACAAATTGAGTTTTTCCCTTAAATCAGACAAATAAATCAATTAAAGAGCAGCAGCAAGTTGGCCACAAAACGAGGCAACAATGCCGAAGCCTTTTCGTTAAATGTTTAATGGACGAGTGCTGACAGATCTGGCTGCAGGCCAATGGCAGATGAAGTGGGAATCGAATCCAATGTTTTCCTTTAACTATGCAGATGTCGTCTTGGCCATTCAACCCGACTTCAATTTCACACACTCTCTCTCTCTTTGTGTATCGTTGCAGTTGCGCCCGTGTGCCGACCTATTCAAAAGACCACTTACAGCTCGGGCAGGCATGAAACCGTTAAGGTGGCCTGTGAAATTGATGCGAATCCCTCGGAGGCCACCTACGTCTGGAAATTCAATGCAACGCAGGGCGAAACCGTGGACATACCAGCCTCGCAGGTGGCCGTGGATCGGGGACGCAGTATTGCCCACTACACACCAATGACGGAGAATGTAAGTGCTCTGCCCCCAACTCCAACTCCAACTTCCAGTCCGAAACCATTCCCATTCCCAATCCCTTTGCCGGGCTCCTGGAGGTCAAATAAATCAGTCCCTGGCACGCCCTTGAGGGCCAGCACATAATTTTCCAAACGAGTTGCGGTTTTGAATTTTCAATTAAGGTTGAAAAGGTGTGTCGCCATCGGCGTCGCCATCGCCGCAGTGCATGCATAAATTAAGCCAACGAAATGCATTGTCACTCAGCCCGCAACACCCACAGGCCCGGACAGGGACACACACCCGAATCCGAATCCGAACCAGAACCCAAACCCTTTACAACCTCCTCCAATATACACAACCCCCACTCATCCTGTCGTGTGTGTGTTTGCGATTTCTTCTTTGCATTGCCAGGACTACGGAACGCTGCTCTGCTGGGCCACCAACGAAATTGGCGATCAAAGTGAACCCTGCGTATACACAATAACCCCGTCAGGTGAGTACCATCGCTGGGGAGATGAGGTGGAGGTGGTCCTCGATTCACCTGTCATTGGGACTATGTGGAGCCATTGCCTTGCGGCTCGCGTGCCTGCAGCTTTGGCTTCATTTCAGCGATTGCAGGGCAAGTGAGGTTTATTTGGGACTGAAGGATACAATGACACCCAAGTTGTGGCAATATATACATGAAGATATATCCGATATATATGATAAGATTTAATAAGCTACATTGTTTTCAATTGTATTAAATAAATCAAGAAATTTGTTAAAAAATTGTTCAATTAAAAAGTATGTGGTGCTCTCGAATCCCTTTTAAACTGTAGAGCATACCATTCCGATATTTTCCATCTTGCTTTCAATTTAATAACCGCTTCCATTAGTCACAACTGAATTTATCGCTTAGAAACCTGCTCTTGGTTAGCCACACGGTATTTGGAACTCCGTCAGGCGGATTTCCAATGGTGGGAACAAACTCTGGCTTTCAGCGGGGTTTTGTTTATGTTTTGTTTTGGGTTTTGCAAAGTCCTGCTGTGCCGATGACTTTGGCACTTTGGTGCTTGGCTTTCCTGGCTCCCGGCTGCTGGATGCTGGTGGCTGATGGGTGATGGCTGCCGGATTAGTCAAACCGAAGCCGCCAGTTGGCTTATTGATTTTGAAGCCACCTCGGGAAATATGTACACGCAAAGCTGCAGACAAATGCTGCGAGTCCGTGGCATTTGTAGCTTGATCTGCTTCTGAGCCGGAATAATAAATATTCTTTGGTTTTTTTTCTTTCTTTTTTTCGATGGGATTGCAGGCGAACCGGATCCGCTGCTGAACTGCACGGTGCTCAACCAGACATCGACGGGATTCCAAATCGAATGCATCGAGGGGTTTGACGGTGGCCTGCAGCAGGACTTTATAATGGAGGTTTACATGAATGGAACGACACGCAATCCCAAAATTTCCAAATCAAAGTGAGTACGGAGATGGAGACGTAGTCGCAGGCAAAGCAGGAACAGGAGCAGGAGCAGGAACAGGAGCAGGAGCTGGAGCAGAGCAATCAGAATCACACGCCATGTGACTTCTGCATTACAACAAGCCCAACGAGGCGTGGCATCGGGCGGAACGCATGGCCATGGCAATGTCCACGTCCTCTGGCACTGGAACTTGCACATGCATATCCTTTCGGCCTCATCCAGCTTCGGTTGCTCCTCCTTCTGAGCTCTGCTCTGTGCCTGGCGAAACCCATTTGTCCGGCTCTTTGGGCTTCCCTTTTTTGCGGTTCTGCCGCTCTTGATTTGGACATTCAGATATCGATTCAACTTCGTTGCAGGCGACCGTACTTTGAGGTGAGCGGCCTGGTGCCGGGCCTGGGCTACAATGTCTTCCTCATCGCCCAGAACGGCAAGGGCCGTAGCAACGCCACCATTTTGCAGGTCTACACGCTGAAGGATCCGGAGAAGCAGACGGGTGAGTTTAATCACAGGGGAGGGCCCAAAAATGAATCCTGATGCGGGCTGCTCGTGTCTCTCGCTCTCTCTCTTTCTGTATCCTTCTGTATCCCCCTTTCTTCTGTGCAATTGCAATTTCATGCATGTCCTGGCTCCGAGTCCTGGCGCTCTGCCTACAAATTAATTGGCGAAGGTCCTGCACTTACAGCTGCTTCATTTGTCTTTTAATTTGCTTTAAGTTCTGCTAACATGGTTTTCTTTCCTTCTCGGTTCGTCCTGTCGCCTTATTTCGATTGCACGCTTCCTTTTAGTTAAAATAACATTCACTAAGTCCTATCAGAGATTCAGGCCAGCTTTTCCCAAGCCCAAGGCTACGGCCACCACCACAAGCGACTGCATTTGCGATGAGGATGAGTTTCTGAACCTGGGCAAGGGGATAAGCCACGACGAGGGCAAGGACGTTGACCAGCAAGAAGGTAGCGGTGGATATTATTTTCATTTAATTTTCTATTAATTAACTAACTCTTAGATGTTGTTTGTTGTTAACCCTTAATTTGGTTCTGTTTGTTATTTAATAATGTGTTATTATTTGTTTACATTACGTTTGTTTATTGTCTTATGGATTTTTCTAGTTTTGATTTATGTTTTGTGTAAGTTGAGTTGCTTTTTATTTTTAATTTATGTTTCGTTTTTAGTGCCTTTAGTTGATTTGTATATTAATTGTGACTAATTTTGTTAATAACAGTTTTGTTTTCTTGTTTTTGAATAAATTTCACTTTACATTTTCACCCCAAAACACTCCGCACAAATAAATCCGGATGCCAAATGGTTTTATTTTCCATTCTTCCACTTTTTTTTCTGTGGGGGCTCTAAAAATTCCTGGCATGCCCGACAAGGACTGGGACAAAAATTAGCAAGCCCAGCGGGGAGGCGATGGTGGGGCAAACAAGGCGGATTACAACGCGCAGATATGCACAACTAGATTCACATATGTACATGCACACACACACACAACCACACCCACACCCACACACATGCAGCTCATTAAGGCGGCACTAAATTCGAGGCACGTGCGCCAGGACCTGCCACCGACAACAATAACAACCAAAGGACGCAGACTGGACCAAGAACGGAACGTAGTTAGCAGCTCATAAAACAATGCAGACTTAGGGAGAAACAAGAAAAGGGGAGAAAGAGAGGGAGATGGATAGTAAGAATGAGAGACAGAGCGTGCACACTGGGAGAAAATGTTGTCTCATGTTCTCATAAAAGGTTAAACATCACCAAACTTTAATAGAAATGTAAACTAAAAACTATTCATCATATCCTTAAAGATGTACAGAGATCTCTATGCATCTTAAAAGCTTAGAACAATTAAATAATGTATATTATTAGTTATAAAATTCACGAGAATTAATGAGAATCTTAGAAGCATTTTCTTCTGTGCATAAGGAATATGTATATGATGCAGCAAATGCTTATCCTCCAATCCTTGGTCTCTTTCCGGCTTCCATTATTTTTCATTCTCTTACGCCGCTCTCACGCAGACCTCTCGCTGGCCTATGCGCCCGTCATCGAGGACATCCGGCCATTCCTCGGCATTCTGGCCGGCATCGTGGGCAGCGTTTTCCTGGTGGCCCTCATCATTGTGATTGTGGTGCGTGTGCGCGGCTCCTCGGGGCGCGATCGCAATAATTACTCGCATCCGGGCAGCGGCGTCGTTGTCGGCGTGTCCGGCGCCACCGGCACCGGCCCCGGGTGCGGTGGGGGTGGCGGCGTGGGCGGCACCACGGCCAATGGCAATGGCAGTCTGGGCCTGCTGGCCAGCAACAACAATGGCAGCCTCGTCATCGGCACACTGGGCCACAATGGCGGGCAATCAGTGCAGGACATGCATCGCATCGGCCGGGAGACATGCCACGTGACGAGTAGCCTGGACAGCATCGACAAGAATCCGGACATCATACCGCAAGGTGGGTTGGGTGAGTTTCCACAGGTGGCCCAGCTTGTCACCTTTTGCCACCATGATCCCCACCTAATCCCCAACACTCACTCCTCCGCTTGCAGACGGTCACGACGTGGACGATGAGTGGACGACGAAGGGTCATGGCCGGGCCTACGCCACCGCGGCTCTGGCCGAGCAGAATGCCGTGATTAACTCCGGCACCTATGATCACCTGATGCCCACGTACGCCGTGGTGGACAAGAAGACTGCCCCGCCCCCGGGCCACGGTCCCTACATCCAGTACAACACGCTTATCCCCGTTAGCAAAATGGGCGCTTACGCCAATCAACAGCAGCAGCAGCAGCAGCAGCTCCATCATCAGCAGCAGCAGCAGCAGCAGGCGCCGCAACAGAAGGTGAGTTATGGACACCCTAATCCACTTCCCCGTCGGACACTAAACCTTTTACAATATGCCCGAGCAGCCACCGCCAGGGTCTTAATTTATGACCCAGGGACACCAGGCCACTGGCCAGGTGGTGGTCATTCCTGGCTGGTTCCCCCTCGGCAGCTGGGCTCCACATATTTTGGGTTAAGTGGTTTTTATAGCCAGCAGTTTGTTGCTTATCCTTGGAGCATAGCATAGTAGATGAAGCCCAGCAGAAGTCCTCTTAAGCAAGCTAAGGTTATTGGAAAATAGGTCTCAATTAGCAAACAAAATATGTTCCGTAAAGTTGATTCAACACCCTCAAAGAAACTTTAACGTATTTGCGTTTTGTGCCTAGTGGTATGCTTATAAATTCAAGACAACAACTATTAAAAACTCTCTCGAAAACTTCCGAATACTGTCATTGGAGTAATGGCAAAATATTTCCCCAAGTAACCACCCCAAGGAAATTCCCTTTGAAAACTGCTGAAGGTCGTCCGTGAAGTAAGCGAAAACAACAATGACTCGGTGGGGAATAGAATAGCAACAGCATCATCTGCAGTTGCAGCAGAAGCGAAGAAACCAACATAATTTGAAAATCATTTAAGGAGAAATTTCTCTTCAGATGCCACGCCCCCGAGGAGCTGGTGCAGTAAGGGCCGAAGCAGCAGCTGCGGCAATATAAATTTTCCATTTGCGAATTTAATAAAAATAAGTTGCAGGCGGATCCAGCGCGACTCGACTCGAAACTGCGAGGCAGAAACCGCTAAGGATGCAGAGAGAGATGTGCGCATCCTGCAGCCAGCTCGAAATGCAATAAACGGCCAAGTGTGTGCCTCGTCGGCGGAAGGGGGAAACCCAGTCGGTTGAAGGGCCAGACACATTACGGACAGGCGCCGCATGTGGGTGTTGTCTGGCCTAAACAAACAGGCCAACTGCAGCAGACATAAAGCTGACGGAGGCGATCCGACGAGAGGTGTAAAGAATACCCGCTAAAGTTTAACCTGCTCGGGGCTAAACGTGGGCTCAAAGGCTAAACGAGGGCTCAAAGTGCTGGTCACTTAACACTCTAGTTGTATTAAGAAAATATTAGTGGAAAACCGTACTTATGAAGGCTAGTTATGACCTTCCAGGGTACTTTTTGTCGGAAGCTTCGAACGCAGTGAAGGAGTCATTTCCGACCCTATAAATCATATATATTCTTGATCAGCATTAATAGCTGAGTCGATCTAGCCATGACCGGTCGAAAAATAAATTTTGCAATTTTTTTCCATTTTTTGAAAAAACGATAAGGGGTTACATCATTAAAATTGCAAAAAATTGGCAAATTTTTTGATTTTCTGAAATTTTAAATTAAGTTTGCAGATTTATTAAACTATTAAAAAGTAAGATCGGACAGCTTTCCGAATTCAAATTAATGCCTTTTTGGGTAAGTTATGAGTTTCTAAACTTTTATACAAGGGAAAAATAGCATCTAAAAATATTTTAGTATTATTTTAATATTTCCCATTAGATCTCACAAAACAATTGAAAACTGCAAGGGTATATAAATTGAGGCTTTCCTAAATTAGTTTCCTTCCTGGTTTTTACAATTTTTTAAAATGTGTATTACACAAATCGTTTACTATCTTTTCGCCCTTAGACTGAGCTCAGCTATAGTGAACTCTCTGCCCCTCTGGTGGGCAGTGCCGTGGGCGTTCAGCGGATGGCCCCCTATTGCAGCGCGACCTTGGGACGGCCGGGCAGACAGGCGGAACTGAAGAGGGCCGAGCCGAACATCTACTCGCAGGTAAATGTGATGATGGACGACGAGATCCTGGCCGACCTGCAGGCGGCCACAGCTTCCGGCAGCAGCTATGTGGCCGGGGCCGTGGTCGACAATGTGGGTGGCGCCGCCAATCTCTACGTTCAAGGATACGCGACGCGGGTGTAGCCTTGGATCCGTTAGCCTATGATTTCATTTATGATTTTGTTATTGCCTTAGCTATTTATTTTTTGTTAAATAAATGTTATTTATTTCTCTGCTTATTTCCTTCGCTTTAAGTTGAGTTGCATTGAGTTCTGTGCATTGTGTTTCGGTAAATTTTAATTACATCTGTCGGTGGAACTGCAATACACAGCTGACCATATCAATAACCAGGCAGAAAAGAAAGCATGCTGCACTGGATGGCAAAATATTTGCCTTTCATTGTCCGGCCCTGCTGAACACATTACACATACGCACTGTTGCACAAACAAATCGAACTGCAAGCAAACGGACTGCTGAAACCTCAGTTTACGCAAATCTGATTTAAAGAGACGCCGGACAACAGACAGACGTGAAATAATGACCAAGAAATATCCTCGATACAGGCTGAAAAAGTATTTGATGGGATTGAACCAGAGAATTGAGTACCTGGAACGGCTGAGCGCAGATTTGCAAAGAATCTGACTGAGGGAGATATATAGACTTGATAGATATCCACCTCAGCAAAGCATTTTTCAAATTTGTCTGGCTATGGCAGACAAGTTATGTTCCCATTTTGTGGAACAATCCCCACTGGACATTGTTCCGGTCTTCTTTGTTTATCGAACCAGCTTTCAGTCCCTTTAATAATTGAAATGACTTGAGTTATGACCAAGTGCGGGCGAATCGATGTACATACATCCCGGCTGAACAGGCACAAATGCACTTAAACAGCACTCACTCGGTTCGGTGGGAAACACGGGCTTTGGGAATACAGGGCTGAAACAACAATTACGGCCGCAGGAGCACAGTCCTGGCAAACCATTTCACCTAATGACTTTGTTTGGCTTTATTATTGTCGTTTATCGAAAAGTTTTACACGACATGCAGTTGGCTCTCGACTTCCTCTGTTCTGCTGGCAAAAATTCTGGTCATTGATTTCAGTTTTTAGTTTGGCAATTATTTTAATTCGATTCTCTATAGCTTTCTGTTGGGGACCATATTGTTGTCTGTGTGTTATTCCCGATATTAGTTTAGAATATTCGGAAACTCAGCTCTATAAGCCAAGTTTTGTGGCCATAAATAGTTGAATTAGTAGTTACACAACCGAGACTGGCAAGGCGCACATTCAATGTAATGAGACGCTGTCTTTGCTTGTTTACTTACCCCTTCCCGGGGGTCAAACCATCAATTTTAATATATATGGCGCTAAAAATTAATTTCATTAATATCTCGTTGAGCGCACAACAACGTAAATATGCCTCACCCAGGCACACACGTTAATTACGGAAATAAGCATACAAACATGCCGCACATACACACCCATTTAAGCCATCTCGCAGCTACATGGCCCACCCATGGGCCAATTATTGTAGTAGCTCACCGCATACAGTCCGGGCCCGGCTTCTTGTTCGCCACCATGGCTACCATGTTGGCTAAATAAACGCCGGGCGCGTTGTTAACTATCAGTAACAACGTTACGCGGGGCAAGTGTCGGCGGCGGTGGCCGTGGAACCGCAGAGCCAGCGATGGCTGCAATATGCGCGGGCAACCACACTGGCCACTGGCACTCCCTTCAGATATATATACATATATATATATATATATATGGCGAGTAAAACATATAATTACACATACGAATATTGGTTCACAATGTGGGAGTGTACTTCAACTTTGAGTAACTTGTTTATTTTGCATACTATATTGCTTGAATACATGGTACATGTATTTAAATTAATATAAATAAATATGGTATTAATTACTAATACATCTATTTATATTTAACTAAAATTGTAGAAAAACATGACATAGTTGCTTTCCTTTTACACGCTGCATTATAATTTTAGTTGCCCTTTTGATCAATCACTTTTGTTTTCAACCCACCAACTAACCAACTCGTCCTCGTCTACAACTCGCGACCAACTCGCAGCATATAACATAAATCATCACATGACTAAAACCTCATTACCTACTCCTCTACCTGAATGCCGCAGATCGATCTGGCCCATCATCCCATGCCCATGTACTCGACGAGCCCGATGTTTGGCACGAACACCACCATCACCGGAGTCACCATGTCACATCCATCACAATTGGCCACCTTCTCGCCGACGCCGCCGCCGCCCATCTTCGCCCACAGCGTGGTGACCACCAGCGATGGCCTCCTGCAGCCAGTGACGTGCATGGGTCTGGTGGCAACATCTTCGGCAACGGCCTCGGGCCCCATGCCAATCCCCCAGCAGCAACAGCAGCAGCAGCAACAGCAACAGCAGCAGCTGACGGCGGCCAATGGCGGAAACGGAAGCATCGTCGGCATGGGCATGAGCCTTTATGGCAGCGATGTGGTAAGTGTCAGTTTGATGTACTCCCCAATTCCTGGAGTGGACGGGAATCGAGCCGCTGCTGCTGCTCCTTGTTGATAGCGCTCCGGTCGTCAAGGCAACCTCGCCTAATGTTCAAAACGTTGAAAGCATCAATATGCAAAGTGGATTTTCAGGCAAGGATTTTTGGCATCGCTGCAGGCAAAAGGCGAGCAGGATGGGGAACGGGAACGGAACGGGACCGGGAGCCGGCAGCAGGAAACATTTATCTTGGGGCCCCCGTCCGCCCTGCCACCCCCGCCCGGCATCTTTTGTGCCCAATTTTGTTTTCGTTTTTCCCTTATAAATGGTAGCCGCTGGGGCGGAAAATGGGTTTTTGCGGTTGGCCTGATAACTTTTCAAGTGATTGCAGCCGCCGAAAGGGTATCCAAATGTAGAAAATTAAGAGCGGAAGCTGTTCGAGTTCAGATATTTAACAGCAAAAAAGTGTATGCCTATAAGCAACTTAATTTCGGGGACTCGGAAGGGGCGCCGTTTCCCCTTTCCAGTATTTCCCCTACATTAGGTTCCCGCTTTCAATCGATTAGGCCACCCAGTGCGTCATCGATCAACAGATGACTCAAAGGCGAACTCACTCTCGTGACAATGCAATTTTCTGGCCATCCATAACCCTTGATCCCCCTACAGACAGGTTTAAAGCTCGGCACTAGAGAGGAGCTTGTGCCGGCACTTTCCATGGGTTCGAGGCGACGGTAAATGACCTCTGAATGTGCCGCAGGATAATAAAAAGCAAAAAAATCCCGCTGCCGCTTGTCCTGCTCTCGCCGCTGGTGACTGCCATTCATTGTCTCTGTCAGCCGCCTTATAAATACGCCATTATGTGTACATACCCTCGACGCAGAGAGCATTGCGTTCGCAGTGCCTGGCCCGTCCGTCGTTCGCTAGTCCTGGACCTGGCTTCAGTCCCTGCATTGTCCCTGCTGATATTCGCTCCACAAAAAGAATTACGTTTTTACAACAATTTCATGCCAAAAGGACACTGCGGTGTGGCAACTTTTGACTCTAATGATTGCAATTATTATGACCCAAATAAGAGGAAGAACGGCAGAGCAGAGAAAAAAAGCCAGAGAGCACAAGCAACATCATCATCAACAGCAGCAACAGAATTCACAATGTTTTATTCCCACTCTCTGCCTCGGCTGCCACATTTTTGCCTTTTTGCGTTGCCTTTTCTTGAGCTGCTCCTTTTGTCTGCCACTGATGTCGGCATGTCCTTGTTGTTTTCCCCGCTCGATTCCCAGCGTCAGCACAGCCTGACACTGTTGGCCCAAGGGAGTTGGCCAAAACACAGCAAATGGCTCCGAGACTTGTTGGTTTCTTACTTCTGTTCATGGCTCGCCACTGATGCCACTCTGCCAAAACCAAATATTACGCATACGCAACGTTTTTGCTCCTGACATTTTCTGGCCAGGCTGGTGGCGGGGAACGTGAATTCGTAATGACTGCGAGAGTACTCAAATAATGTGCGGCTCATTAATTTTAAAGCAGCGCTATTTAGTGTGTTTCAGGGTTGTTTAATTGTTCCCAATTCGTCCCCGAAAATGTTTCTCATCTGGCCTCCTTCTCGTTTCAACTCTCCCCAGGGCAAGCCACAGCTGCTGAAGACCGTTCCCGAGGAGCTGCACCATCAACTGAACGGCGAGGATGTACTGATCGCCCAGAATCGCGGTCTCGGAGTCGGAACACGCTTCTGACGCTAAGCTCGCACCCAGGAGGAGGAACTAATCTAAAGTCAGAAGAGCCAACCACACAGGAAATGCAAATCAAAAGAGCGTACTATGGAAAGCTAGCGAAAAATCGGGGAATAATTGGTAAACAAATTGACTATAAGTTGTATGTGATGAGGGCAGAGCAGGAAGCCAGCTTAATCGGAGTTGATTTTAAAGGAGCTGAGCTGCGCGGAAAGAGCAACCTTAGTTGGCACTTTTTTAACAAATCAAACAGAATTATATGAGATGGGAAGAACCTGTAAAAAGAAAACAATAAACAGTGCTTGCCAAGGATTCGAAGCGAATGCGAAGCTCGACATTGAAATTCCAGTAGGCCTAAGCAGACATGTGTACATTATGGAATACAATTAACATGGACAGCTATAATTACGACTAACATTAAAGCGAAGACACTGAATTGTTAATATATTTTTAAACAACAGCTTTAAGCGCCAAACGAGATGGAGAACTTTTAGCTAAGTAAACGAATTCATAATTGTTGTTGACCTTAGTTCGAGTGACCTAACTCCCATTACCATTTAGCTTGTAACCTAGACTTAACTACGGCATTTACCACATCTAAATCAAATTCATCTAGCTGTAAGCTCCAACTTAGCATAGTTCAAATTGTAATTAAAAAATCATAAAGAATTTAAACAAACCCTAACCCTAAGCCGACTAAATAATGAACGATTTATAAACGACTCTAATTAGCAGGCCACGGCTCGCATTTTATACGTAACAAAGTATGAGAAGTGGAAATCCAAGGGGGTTGGCTGAATAACCCGGAAATTCCAGGAAGAAATGAACTCTAGCTTAAGACAGCTTAAGCATAAAAAAATGAATAAATTAAAAATCTAAGGAACTGCATGTAAAATATTTAACTGAATATTAGGCTAACGTTAATAAATTAAATTTAATAAAATGTATGAAACAAGGACGAAGGAGTGTGTTGATTTTACAGTAGGGGGTTTTGCCCCTTTAAATAATTTTAAAAACCATACTAAGAGATATTATTAATTAGCATAAAAGATAGATGAGGAATCTTAGTTTTCCCTCCAGGGTCACTGATCTCAGTCCCACTAAATTAGGCCTTTTTGGGCGATGGCAGAAGCAAACATTAGCAGGCTAAAATGTTACAAGCGGATGTCCACAAACACGGGGGGCCCAGCGGCTGCAGGTCCTGTGTGTTCGGTCCTGCCTTGTAGAAAGCGGTAAATATTGACAGGCCGCGTGAGCAAACAATGACGGAAGCGGAAGTCAAGCCGGGCCACGCAACCGCAGAGGAACAATAACAAAAACAGGCGACAATCTGCATTGAGTAGAGTAGCAGCAAAAGCAGCAAAAGCACCGGCAACAGCAACGGCAACATCGACTAACTGAAGCAGCAACATGGCCGATACAGCGCTCAAAAATTGTCAAACCATGTAAATTTTGTATGCGAAAGCACTTAACACCGTTTTCGCTTAAGCAACGCAAACATCGGGGAAATAGAGGCGGCCAAAGGAACTGAGTTAGATCGCAGTAGGCAGCATTTATGGACGGGAATGGGAACGGGAACGGAGGCCTGCATGGCGAGCAAATTATGCAAATTTCGACCGCAGCACTGTCAGCGTCACCATTGCTGTCGCAGTCGATGACTTGTAAATTTTGGGGCTCCGGGTAGCCAGGACTCTGTATCCTAGAGCACCTGTTTAGATTTCAAGATATGCCATGCCATGAGCTGAGCAAACCCATATAGGTATGCCTAGATCAAATATTTGGGGCCTGGGAGCCCTCAAGGAGCTGCCGCCCCAAATAGATTTCGAAATTGGAGTGGACCACATGTCAGGCCGCAAAGCCGCAGGATATATGGGAAGGGGCTGCTGCCAGCTGGCAGCCATTAACCCGCCAGATTGAAATCAATTAATCAAAATACACCGCATAAATTATAAATTAAACGCCGTGTTTATGCTCATTTCGTAGCTGTGGCTGCCGCCAAGTCACTTCTAGACTTCCCCTCCGGGGGCGGCCATCAATCAGGCGGCGGCAATAAAGTCAGTCCGGCTGAAATTCATATTGCCGATGACAGGAAAACGGCATTCAATTGTATTCTAAATCATAAATAAATATTAAAAATCAATTTGAATGCGATTTCCCCCCACACGAGCCCGAACACTCTGCACAAAGCGGAGAAATATAGTCGCTGCGCAAAATAAATAAACGGAATATATATGAAAAGAAAATACATAGGAAAGCGCACAACAATGCAGAGGGCATTGACAGCGAGTTGCAGTCTCAGTGGAATTTTTCATAAATGAAAAATATCCCAGCGTTAAGGAATTTTATATAAATGAAAACTAAGCAATACCGGCTAATATCGCTCCGTTTCATTGACAACATTTAGATTTTCCTGTGGAAAACATTTCCCATCAGTCAGGCCATTATTCTGGCCACTCGGTGAGTTCATTTATCGCAACAAATTTTTGGTTGTTTTCATTCCTCGTTGCCTTTTTTTTACCTAAATTAAAAGTTTGGACACAAAGAGTTTTTATTGCTGGTTGCAGGCTCCACGATGATGAATGATGGATGAATCGTTTCGTCACAAAAGAATTCGTGTATTTATGCGACATTTGCTTTTAATTGATTGTTCGAAATGACAAACGACTTTCCGTCGCCGACGCATTTGATTTATGCCCCGGGCGAGCTAATAAAACTTTACTACGAAGTTGTGCGAAAATTAAACGAAAATGCCCGGCAATTAAGCGAGTTCTTTTTCGGCGGTGCAACACTTAAGCCTCCATTAATGCGGAGCTGCGCTGTGTTGTCTGTCAGCCGCTTTTGCACTGCAGTGGCCTGATTTATAAGCCAACACTTACAGCGCAGCAGACAGGGATACAAGGATACAGATCCGGATGAGGACGTGGACGACAGGCGACTGCGAATGCGAACCCTGGACGGGGACTGACCACAGCAACATTTTCTTACCACTGATTTATTTACATTTAAGCAATTTCGTCGCCATCGTTGTGAAGTTTCCAGACTGAAATTCGCAGCATTGCATCCGGAAATTGGCAACAAAAAGGGGGTGGTGGTCAGTGCCCCCCACTGCCACCTTTCCCATTCAGTCTCCCCATGGAGGCAGGGGCTCCACTTACCATTCGCGAGAGGGTCTGAGAAGATTAATGCCGGCGCTTTTATTGTTTGGTCAGTCGCGTGACCATTTCTGCAATTTATATCGTAAATAAAAGTGACGAAGAAAATAAAGAAAACTTTTGCGTCGAGGCTGTGGGAAGGATGTAAATAAACCGCATGAAAAGTGAACTCATCTTGGTCTTTGGAAAGCCGGGTGGTAAGATTACGGCTTTTTACTACCAAATTGGGTTAAATTGATCTGAAATAAGTTTGTTTCGTATGAGTTTCTTAAGAGTTTTACTAACTAATTGGTATTCGAATGAAGAATACAGGTTGTATTAATATTTCATAGAAGAAAAACTTTTTTCGTCAATCTTAAAATCCTTTATCCTTTATACCCTTTCAGTGTATTATAATTTCAGTCAGAAGCTTGTAGCTGTGTGAAGGAGTCATTTCCGACCCTATAAATCATATATATTCTTGATCAGCATTTATAGCTGAGTCGATCCAGCCATGTCTGGTCAAAAATAAATTTTTTGAAATTTTTCGAAATTTGCAAATTTTATAAGGGGTTACATCATTAAAATTGTGAAAAATTGGAAAAAATTTAGATTTTCTGTAATTGTAAATTAAGTATGCAGATTTATTAACCTAATAAAAACTAACATAGGACAGCTTTCCGAATTAAAATTAATGCCTTTTTGGCTTAGTTATGAGTTTTTTAAAATTTAATAAGTCGAACAAATATGCATATAAAAAATTGTATAAATATAGATTCAAAGAATGCTTCTCGATGTTCCTGTTACTAAATAAAGGAATTGTGAATTAATAAAGTTATTCCCATCAAGCTTGTTTTTATATATATACAAATTTAACTTATTTTTCCATTCAAATGGAAACGCTGTACCGTATTGATTGCGGAAACTCATGCCTTCTGTCCTATTGATTTCTTGGCCAAAACCCAATCGTATACAAATTTACCGACAATCCGCCATTCACCACTTCAACTGGCAGCCACTAAGCCTTGGCCTATAATGTGTAACAAATCTAGGCAAATTTTTCGGGCAAACACGAGGCGACACCTTTGCCACAAATACCCAAATCCTGGAGTGGGCCAAAGAACAACACAGTTTGAAGGTTAAATAAATTGCTGGATCCAAACATATGCCCCAGGGCCATAAATATTTGGGATACGGAAGCTGGCAAACAAAAAAAGGGTTTAGCCAGAGGGGGTGGGGCTGGGGGAAAAGGGTAACAAATGCGTGTATCCATTTACATAGAAAGTACCTGGCGTCGCACATTTCCTGCCTTTCACCGGATCCAGCCGGATTCCCGCCTCCGGTTAATATGGCGGCGTCAAAACAACATTAAACACGAGGCCTGGTAACCGGGAACCAGTCACCGGAAGTGTGTATATAAAATAACCCACGCCCGTGCGCACACATGCGCCTCCGCAGACACGCACTCGACTCGAACACGGTGCGTATACGCAATAAACATCAAAATTTTGAACAGCGACAGGCGGTGACGCGGAGGGGGAGAGGGGGAGGCAGCGGCCCCCCGTCGCTCTGATTTCCCTTTTGGACGTTCACCTTTTCGTTCTTTATGCGCTGGGGCCCCCCAGAGGTTGCAAATTATTTTTTTAGTACTTTATTCAATGCGCATTAGGCGCGCGCTCCCCGTCTGTTTTTTTGTGCCCTGCGAATTTCGGCCATAAAATGTGAAAGGTGCGTGAGCCGGGTCGGATTTGCAGACTTTTCGGTGAAAGTGCAAAGCAAAAGGAGAAAAAAAAAACTACCAACTAATGTGGGTAGACACTTAATTTATGTTGAGTTTTTTACAACTCAGCGTGTCTGCAATGATTATGGAATGAAGTTACCCGGCGATTTGTCAGGCGGCACACGTGCGGGAAAAGTTTAGCCTAATGAAATGGCACAACTCTTTGGGAGCTGTAAATCCTTTTATCCATTAAAATAAATACATATTTCACCTCAAACCGTGCATTCCAACCTTAATGAATTGTGCCAAATAGATTGGCAATCAGTATGCATTAGTGTTTGTTTAAGTTTCTAAAAATACTTTGTAAACTAATTAAAATATTGAATGCCTAAGCCCTAATTGAGCGCTTCGTCCTCCCCTGACAGCTGCAGGGACCGCAGGACATTGGTATTTATCTGTGGGCAGTTGGCCAGCGTCAAGTGGCTAATTGACAGAGTCGTGCAGTGCATCCTTTTTTTTCATTTTCATTATGTTGATTGAATGTTTTGCCGGTCGACTATCAAAGTCCATACTAATACAAACCGAAATGCAAATTAACATTTTTTGCCTGCATGCAAAACTAATAAACATAACATTTATGAATTTTATCGAATTTGCCGTTTGTGCACGCTTGTAATTCGGTTTATTAAAAAGGGCTTCATGGATAATTAATAAATTGCGCATCATTTGCAAAATGCGACTGACAGGATCCATGCATGGCGAGATAGGAAAGACTTTTCACTGTTTATTGCTGACCAGATGCCAGACCGCTGCGGTCGAGTTGGTAATTCGAAATGATTTCATTGACATTTATATGATTGCATTTAAATTCTAGTTTTAATATATATTTAATTATGTTGCGAAACGCTCTTTAAAGGGGCATAATTAAACTGACAAAGAGCGTTGGCAAATTTATGCAAAACTTTCGCAGAGCTCGGAGAAAACTCGCAATTACAACTGGCTGTGTTGCCTTAGTGTCGAGAGTCTATAATTACTCGGTGCGAAAATGTTTTTGCAATTATGAAACAAAAAAAACTGCACCAAGGATGAAAGTGAATTCCGTTTCTCAGAAAATTACACGGCGTGCTAAATTATATGACACGAAAGTTTTGCTCGCTGGGCGTGGAGACCTCTAATTGGTTTTTGATTTCGTCTTCTTTGGGGCGAGAGAAAGTCTAAAAATTTGTGCGACACTTGCAGCACCGTAAACTAAATTGCTTCAGGAGTTTTGCACATGCCTACAATTTGGGCAAAGTTTCCGGCAAATAACAAAATTAACCCCAAAGTGCCTGCCTGCCAGCCTGCCGTCCTGGCAGCCAGTCGAGTGTTAACTCCACTCCGCTCCGGAGTATGTGTGCTTTGTAAAGTTGACTACGCTAATATGTCACTTTGTCGTGGGCAAAGTTAACTTTGCTCTCACCTAACGCTCTCCATCTCCATCTCTGTCTCGATCCCTCTCTCCATCTCTATCTCTATCAGTGGCTCCATCTCTTTCTGCACTTTGGTCCTGCACTCAACTTGGTTTTTAGCTTGCTGCATGCATGCATAAGTGTGTGTGAAACCAGAAACCAAGGCGACCGAGGGTCGGAGGATGCTGGCACTGGGGCGAAGGACCTAGAGGGAGACCTCAAACCCCACTCCTCCCACCTCGCACTCACATGATTCGGCATTAAATTTGCAGTAACACAAATTGTCGCTTACCAAAAAGTCTGCATCTACAGGTAAAAAGTGGCACCGCTAAAAGCTTCAGCTCAAAGACAACAAATAAATTCAATTGAATCCAGACGAGACGCGACGACACGAGCTGAAATGAAATTGCAAGAAATGGCGTAGCTCGGCAAAAGGATATATCCTCGTTTCCTCCCCATACATACGTGCTCTTTAATGCCAAGAAAATAATACAGAATTTAAGAATTGTTTGAGATATTTTGTTATACTGATTTTATAATATTGTAAACTCATATTAAAGAGTAGTCTTTTTCTTCAGTTTCGACATATGTAGTCTATGTGCTTAAATATTCTTTAATAATATTCATGAAGCTAATGCTCCATATAATCTCAATGCTATAAAACATTTATACCATTTATATTTGGGTATATACATTTTACATTTATAATTTAAGTGGCCTGAAACCAAACGAGAAGGTAAAGATATAATAAAATATATTTTTGAGTTCATTGCGCTGTTACATGGCATTTCCAAGGCAATATTAAATATTACAAAATATATTTGCTCTAGGCAGTATAAATATTTGAATTTGAATTTCCACATTAAACAATACAATTTTAAAACGCAATTACTTCTCTGATAGATTGAATTCAATTTAATGAGCAGGAAATACGATTCGAAATGTATGTTGTACACACACACATGAAATGAAGTCCATGCTTACAGTAAATATATTTCTACTCGGATACATTTTGATTCTGATTTAACAATTCTTGGAAATATAGCCGAATGATCAAATTTCCTAATTATAAGCCAGAAATATCGCAATCAACTGAGATATTTAACCTTGCAAGTGTATTAACTTTCATTTTCCGTTAGATTAGATTCAATGCTCTAAAAATATGATATCAAATTAAACTTGCATAGCCTTTGCAGGCGATTCCCATCGGTGTGGAATAGTTTTGGCCAATCAACTGCAGCTAAAGGCCCAGAGCCTGGTAAAATCACTTTCGAGCCTTTAAAATGCAGGCAGCGGTTTGTTTATTTATTTTACATGCTTTTTCACACTCACCCACACACACTCACACACTTCTGGCACCTTTTTGATTATAATTTACGACTAAATGTTGTTGTTGCCGAGGGGAAATTCGTAAACTTTTCCAGAGAAAGCCAGAGCGAGAGAGAAAGGGGAAATGGCA